AGTGATTTTTGCTTTGAAGAACTTTGTTCTGGTTTAACACATTTTCACATCCTTCATGGCAGATCTGAAGTACTGTTCCTGAGAGAAGGACAGTGACTGCCTTTTTATTAGGTAATGTTACCACCTAATGGCTACAATCCAAAGATGCTTTTACCTGGCAATTATTTGCTAAAATGGGCTGCAAGTGTAGTACATATTCCTGAATGGTATTTGGAACTGGGGGGGACCTGAACTAGGTAATGCCCTGATGCCCTGATGCCACCAATCTCTTTCTCTCATGTGTGAGTCCAGGTTAGGGTTTAGCCATACAGCAGTGAGTAAACACCCAGACAAACCCTTGAGGATTTATTTTACATTACAGAATGACAAGGGCACAGTAATGACTCTATGATAGATTGGGGGAGGCCACACAGGGTATTAGACTTTTTATTTTTACTAACTTATAACTGGAATAGAAAAATCTTCTTAAAAATGGTCACTTAAACTTGTAATTTTTATGTTGATTAAAGTAGATGTAGTGTCAGCAATATAATTTTGATGCTGGAAATCACATAGAATATGGTCAACTAAACCATAGCAGTGCCATGCAGTGCCATGTCCAGTTGTTTCTTGAACACTTCCAGGGATGGTGACTCCACCATCTCCACAGGGAGTCCATTCCAATGTTGTTACCCTTTCTGTGAAGAAGTTCTGTTTTCTGAATTTCTGTTGTTGATAATCACTTGTTAACCAGACATGGTAAGATCACTGTATCATAGAAACATTGAGTAGGGAAAGACCTTTAAGACCTGGAGTCCAACAACAAGCCTTCCACTGTTGAGTCCACCACTAAACCATGTCTCTAAGTGCCAAATCCATGCATCTTTTAAAAACCTCCAGCGACCATGACTCCAATGCTTTGCTGTACAGCAGGGAGGAGATAGGAGCAGATAGGAAGCTTTCTGCTGTTTGTTTGTTTTTTTGTTTTTTTTCATGCTTTGAAGAACACCATACCCATTATGATAGCACAATTTTCAGAGACTGGGCCTGGAGCAGATAGGAAGCTTTCTGCTGTTTGTTTGTTTGTTTGGTTTTTTTTTTTCAATTAAGAGAAAATGACAGATCAGTCATGCTTTGAAGAACACCATATATGGTAGCACAATTTTCAGAGACTGGGCCTGACCAGCTGCTCTGCAAAATTTAGGCATTTGGATAAGAAAAGTTGTGGTTCTGCTATTTTAAATACAATATTGTCCTTGGGTTTAGTAAAGCCAATCCTTTACCCTGATCATTTCATATGAAATTTTTGTCATGGGGTTTGAGTTGGCCATGTCATGAAATATTATTTTACACTTTAAAAAAAAAGCACTATATGCAACCAAATCACTGAATCATTTCAAAGACACTAAATATGTTCATGGAAAAGCTTTTCCATAATACCAATCTTACACGGTTTGAGTTGGCCGTGTCATGAAATATTATTTTACACTTTAAAAAAAAAGCACCATATGCAACCAAATCACCAATCATTACAAAGCCACTAAATATGTCCATGGAAAAGCTTTTCCATAATACTAATCTTACACGGTTTACTAATTTTATTTTGTACTTAAAACGATGTATACTGAGATGTTTGAAGAGGAAGGAAAGAATTACACAAAAGAGGCAAGAAATACATAGCAGAAGAAGAGAGAACTACAGAGTGGAGAGAGAACTTTTTGTCTGATAAGAAGGAACACATGTTATAAGGTATGTATTTTAGTAAAGAAGCCAAAACCCTCAAATCTCCACTGCTGTCACCATTGCTATAGGATTCCCATCAAACCTACAGTCTCAATATATGAAACCATCCATCAGTGTCCATAGCCATGGATAGATCCCACTGCCCAAGGCACAGATTGATTTCCCTGCGAGCATGCAGGCAACTCCAGGCAAGACTAAAAAAAGAAACAGATTAACACAAAGACTGACAAAATACCTTCATTTTGGTCTCATTATGAACAAATTCCAACTCTTATTATTTCATCCCTCTCTCCTATTCGTCTCCAGTCTCCACTTAAATATCACATATTTTCATTTAAAAATAAGCTCTCATTACAGAGGACTAAACTCTTATATGTAAATGAACAATACAAACTAGGAATATTAATCAAAGATCTGAGCACATTTTCTGCATAGCAAATATGTTGGAAAATGTATCTTCCTATTCCCTTTCCCTACCATATAGGCAGCTTCAGGAACAAATTATCCCAAATTATCTGAGGCTGAGTTTATAACAAGAACAACTACACTTACGAAACATATGTATTTTGCTTACTGATATTTGAATTCTGTGCATGGACAATGCATGTCCAGGTAGTGCAGCAGCCTCTCTTTTGAAGCAGTTTTAACCTAATTGGATGTGTAATGGGCTCAGAGTCTAAGGGGAAACATCAGATGGATGTTAACAATATGGGAACAACTTCTAAAGAATTGTCTTGGGCTATGTGGATCTTTCTTAATCAAGGAGAGGTTTTCTTCTTGTCAAAAGACAGTCTCTGTCACAGGTACTCTTCTTGATCCTGAAATACGACTTTATACAGGGATGTCAGAGGACCTGAATTATGCATGTGGTCAGCCCAGAGTGATGTCATCTAGCCTTAAAATCAATGCCTCTCTCTAGAATACGAAAGGAAGGAGCAGACAGGTGGTAGTGTAGAGTTTGTGCATTCACAAATCACCTATAAAGTGGATTTCTCCAAATTTATACAAAAATGCCAACTGAAGCCAGCTTTTCTCCAATCTAACCAATATAGTTTTCCCGTCAATTGCTCAGCAGTGGCTTCAGGCAATACCCAAAGAAGGTTGGTGGCTGATGACAGCACTACAAGGAACAGAGAGGCTGCTGTAAGAGTCAGAGGAGGCAAACGGCACTGGTGTAACAATAGAAAGGCCAACAGGCAAGAGTGATTTTACAAGGCCTTGACAAATTCCATTTACTCCTCAAAGTTAAAGACTTGTGCTTGTGCCTCCTGCCTAGACTGAAAACTCATCCTCCTGCTGAGGATGAAATCTGTGTGGTGAGTAGTAAGAATATTCTCTGTAAGCACAAGGAGAGGAACACAGATGTGCAAAGGAACACAGATGTGCATCTTCCATAGATACACTGAGACACAACCACCAGATTTAACGGCTGCCAGAGGGAAGGACTGACGTAAGTGCTTATCCTTCCTATAACTGAAAATCCATGTTTGATACTCTGTTAACTGTTCAGTTCCAAAGGTTTCAGCATCTTTTCTCAGTAACCACACTTGGCAATCAATATTTTCAGAGGGCACTGACACAGCCTTAAAGGCATCCCATCTGTCTGTCATCAGAAAGCTTCTCATCTCTATATATCCACATTAGTATTCACAGGGAATGAAGCCATATTAAAAAAATACATTGAGTATGAGGCCTTTAAAAATGCCTTGGTGGATTTATTACAGAGTGTCAATGTGTTGGAACACACAAATGAACATTCAGGTGAGAAGCCCCAGAAAACAGCAGACCCCACACAGTGTTTTACAGACAATGCCTCTTTATATCAGTAAATCTTCCCTATAGTAAATCAAGCCAAACACAGCATGCAAACATTTCTGTATTTCAGCCTGTGTTAAATAAGTGCTTTTTCCTATTGTTTTTTAATGACAGATGTTTCCCTTTGTATTTTCATGCTGTATCACAGGTCATTCTACAGTCACCTTAAAACTCTCCAGGTATACATACATGAATGTATGTGAATAAATTGCAATGGTAAAATATGCAGAATCTCTGCATGCCAATTTTTTAAAAAACATTATCTGCCCATCGCTGTTAAGGGATGTTGTTCTTCCACCCTACCAAAACTTCCCTAAACAAGACATATTCTTAGAAAAGTCCAAAGTAAGACTTATTCGTGAGAATGGTCTTCTTTATTAGGCACTTGTTTGAGGCCAAGAATATAGCTTGGCTGAAACCAAGACCTTAGGAGGTCTTAGCATGAGTTCAGTTCAAAGAGTTTAGGAGCAGCCCATGCCTGATTTAGCCACATGCCTCCAAACAGCACACGCAGAGCAGGCTGCCTTGCTCCAGGTCCTCTTGCCCAGCCTGCAGCACAGCATTTTCCTGCAGGATTGTGGTGAGCTGCCACTTCTGACAATTTTAATCAGTCCAGCTGTAGGGATGCTGTGGCTGGGTTGGGACACATGTGCCCTTGGAGCACTGCAGCTACAGCTGCATCACTGAGTTTTTAATGTCTTCTGCAAACCTGGCTCAAGTCTTCAGGCTATCTGGACTATGAGTAAAATCCAGCCTGAGGAGGTGGGGCAAACACATTAACTGATGATCAGAGCTGAAGAGTAAAAGTACACTCTGGCTACTGCCTTCAGCTTGCTTTTAGGAATCACAGTGAAGCTGAACCACTCAATTGTCAAGCTTGCTTTTGTTGCAAATATTCTCCCTTTATTCCCCAAACATGGCATTCTTAATTGTACCTATAAATTACTTCTTCAGTCCTCTTGTGTAGCAGCATGAAAAGCAAGTTTTAACATGGAATGTGACAAATCTAGAGAAGTACACAAACCATAAGACATCTGTGTTACAAGCTGCACATTTCATCAAAGAAGTGATTTTTTTTAGTTGCTTTCTCACCGGTCAGCTGCAACAAAGATAGTAATAAACAAACATTAGATTTCCCAAAGACTCTGCTAATATCCCCTCTATGGGTACATCAGTCCACTCACTTCTAATACTTTTGGTCATTTCCTCCTCTGCAGAGCACGCATTCACACCACGGTGCGCACACACACAAGTGTGCACAGACAGACAAAGAACATCCTTCCAGCAAGGAAAATGTCCTGCATGAGGCTACAGATCACTGATGGCTAAAGCATTTCTTTATGACACCCCACAGCTGTTGTCAGAGAAGGAGTAAGACACCACAATAATTTTTTCTAAAGAACATTGACATGTTTTTGACATTCCTCCCCTTCTTCCAGCATACAAATATTTTATCAGTTTACCTTTAATGCAATATGCTTCCTGTCTCCTTCCCGGGATGGGAATGCCTGGCCAGAAGAAACGACCTTTCCTGCCACAGAACAAGTTTCTCTTTATTTCAGCATGCCTTGCCTCCTGCAAGCAGGGCAAGAAGAGACCAAGGCTGGGAGCGCGGGAGCCGCGGGACTGGAGGGGATGCCGGGCGCGAAAGGCGCGTTTATTCTGCCTCTCCCAAATCCCAGCCCCTTGGCTGGAGGCTTCTACCCAGCACTCCTCGGACCAAGTGTGGAGAATCACATTTCTCCTTGATCAGGCCGGCTGCCTGGAGGAAGATGATTGCAAGCAGATGTACCCATGCTCTCATGTGAAAGGAATTTCAGCTTTTGTGTCAGCTGTACCGTACTGGAGCGCCCAGCTCCAGGGAGCATTTTAGTGATCTTTAATTCCTTGCAGGTGCTGGGAACCAGTATGTGTTGGTACAGCAGAGCTGAGACACAGGACAGCACACACCTGGGGTCAGCAGGAGGGCCAGAGGTCAAAGGCATGACCAGCAGCTCCTCTTATTGCAGGGAACAAGGCTGGGATTCATAAAGACCCCTTTTCCTGGTAAACACCCATTGTGCTCAAAACTACATGAGGCTGTGGCAGAAAACTGTGTTTTACCACAAGTGCAGCGGTTTCAACTTCTTGTTATAAATGATCCAGGAGGAATAAACAAGATGGACATCAATAATATCAAATTAATTTATCTGAATATCTAGCTTACAAGAAACAGTGAGTGTGGCATTTGTATATTAAAAAGCTCTTTTTTCAGTAGGATATCCCAGTAATGTTACAAATGGCCTAAGGAAATTGCAATTAATTTAAAGAAACACTTGATGCAGTTACAGCTGTGTTTTGGAGGTACATTAGATATTCTTAGTGCCAGAATGGCTAAGATAAATATCCAGACATTCAGTGGAAATGGATGTACCCCTTGGATCATACTTCAGGATGTCTGGCCACATCAGGGTGAATATTCCTGCTCATGGGGCATACCTGGACACACAGTGGCAAAGCAGATGTAAGCAGCCCATGAGGGCCCAGGCACTGCACATGGGGCTCACCTCCAGGAAGCCAGCCACATGTCCACCTTCATGTAGGAGTACTGGGAAAAGAGGCTTCACTTACTGCCACCACTTGGAAATAACATGATCATGCAGACTTCAAAAGCACCACCACTGGGGCTTGCTGTTTACTCAGCAAAACCCAGTCCACCTGGCACAGATTTTTAAATCTAAAGGAAAAGCACCTGGAAGCCACCAAAAGCCTTTTATTTGCTGAAGCCGCAGAAAATATCAGTGCTTACTCAAGGAGATGTCTTCTTAGAAAAATAAAATTTAGCTTCAGGTCTGATATGTGTGAAGCTCCAATGTGGTGAATGCTTTTTTAACAGCAAAGGTGGGTTAAGCAAACTCTGCCCTGCTTTTCCCCATATTGCTGTGTCTGCCCTTCACATAGTCATGTGGTTGTCCAGATCAGGGAAGCAGCTTTGGCAGCAAATACCCCAAGGGAAAAGAGAGAAACAACCTTCCCATCATTTTTCTTGATCTCCTGATTCACCCTCCTACTGAATGAGACACAGGGGACAGGAAAACACCAGGCAATGTTGAGAGCCAAGTCAGATGAGACTGAGAGACACTGGGACATCGCACCACCAAGAAGAGCCTCTCTTCTCCCTTCATCCCTTCCAGGAGCTACTCTCACCACCTATACAACCTTGACTCCAACACTGCATCTTCACCCACACAGTTTAACTCACTAAATCACCAGAAGAATAATCTGGCAGAAGAATAATCCAGCAAAAACTAACCCAGCAGTAACTAACCCTGCTTTAACTGCACAGCAGCAGCAGCAAGACCCTTTGTGATAAAGGTTGTACCAACATATAGGGGGGCATGCTTGCTGTAGGTATTTCTTAAGAAGCTCTCATAACATTTCAGCCTGTCTTCCTGGAAAATGAAGACATCTCTGCAGAGATACCTGCTCAAAAGCCACCCAGTTGACATGCCCCTCCAGCATGTTGTCCTGTAAGGGCTTTAAAATACCTGTCCCTCCATCTGGCCCAAAGGTTCTTGACTTTGTAGGCATTTCCCTAAAGCAGGCAAAGTGCTGCCAACCTGAGTAATCTGGAAGAGAAATCCAGTCCTTGGGACAATTTTGGGCTGGGAGGTGGAGAGACAAATCTGTCACTAGTATTATTTTTACAGCAACAGGAACAAAAAGGGATTCCAGTGGCTTGATTGCTTTTTATCACCTAGCTGACTCCAACTTTTGCATCAAGAAGAGAGTGCATGTCCTTGCTTGTCCCCACGGACTCACTTTCATGCAGGTTTCTGTCTGCACACACCTTGCTAGCTATTTAGAGACTAAAGCACGTGCCAAGGAGTTGCCTTCATGGATGTTTGTCAGTGTGCAAGGGACACATGCCTGCATTGCCCATGGAGGGGCTTTCATGTGACTCCCTCTACTGCACACATGCAGCTCGTAGCACCCTGACCCTCACTGTGCAGGTACCACAGAGCAGGGGATGCAGAGGGAACCCAGCCCTCTGCCACAGGCCCTCGTGGAGGTGTAGCTGATGTCACACTTGTGGGTGAAGGCCACTCATGGGGGAGCTTTGCTGCTCCCTCTTCCTGGCTGTCATGGTCCACGGCTGTCCATGACGATCCATGACTGTCCTCCAGCCAGAAGGGCCCGATGATGCCCCAGTGTGCCACTGCCAAGGGTGAAGTGAGATTGCAGCTACACCAGAAAGGCACCTCAGGGAAGCTCATGAGCAAGAACAATCCTGCCAAAGGCTTAATCCAGGCTCCTTCTGCAGGCTGCATTTCCCAGCCTGAACCTTCAGCACACAGATGATACAACAATCACCTATCAGACAGAAGTCTAATCCCCTGTCTGTCTGGTAAAATGCTGATAGGTAGCAACTCTGGGACAAACCTTCCATAATACAGAAACCAAAATTTCAGCTAAGCAAAAACTGCATAAAAGGATTTCTGATGTTCACAGCCACCTTTCTCATAGAGCCTGTGACTCTAAGACTACATTTTTCTGCAATCAAAACTTTCCTGCATAAACCCAGTGTCCAGAAGAAAAGCTCTGAAGCAATACCCCAATTCAGAAGTACAAATCTTTATATCTTTAGAACTAGTTGCTCAGATAATGTTTTTCAAACACTAAAAAATAAGGATTAGGAAAACAGTCATGAGACAAATCAAGTAAGACTGGGTGAGAATTTTGCCTCGGTACATAGCCTTGTGTTATTAAACCAGTAACTGGAGCAGAAAGCTCCTTCTAGACACATGCAAAAGGCAAAAAAATAAAGGGTGTTGACGAGTCATTAGTCTGAATTACTGGAAAGTGGGCAGCAAACTGACAGGTAGCTTCCAGCAAATTTCTGTGTAAAGGTTTAGTAGAACTTTCCCAACCAAACATTTGAGACTTTCAGGATTTTCACTTCTGAATGCTAAGAAAGGCTTAGACATTACCCCAAGGAATCTTCAATATTTAGAAATCTGATAATGCACATGTGATGGGGAAATGTCAGCAGAAGGTGGCTACTTTTAGAACTGTAGGAGATGGACAGAAGGGAATTCTGTTCATTAAGATATTTTATTTCAGATTGCTTGATCCATATTATCTAAATAGTACGTCAGCCTGAATCAGAAAGACAGTTCCCTTTTTTATGTTAGTGATTTTGCTTTGTGCTGTCCGTAATTGCTGTAAACAGATCCTGCAGCTACTGAGTTATATAGTAACTAAATCATTTATCTTGGGGAAATTCTTCCTCTTCTCCTGCCAACTATTTATGTCCACCTCCCTACCACCTCACATTCCAGTCATGGCTCTGTTTGTACTCATGTATTTTTCACAGGACCAGTGGCTCAGACTGGAACATATTTGCACCTCTCTCCCTTATGCTAATGGACCTTGCTATGAATGGCCCCTTCTGTGAGGACACGCGTGAGCTCTCAGAGCTCAGCAGCATTTTGGTGGGGGCATTGACACCGAGGTACCCTGCTGCCAGCTTTATTCCATAAATAACTACAGCATCATTTTTTGGAGAGGGATGGTGAGAGTGGCGAGAAACCACAGCATCTCTTCCACCATCACCCTGTCCCAGTTAAATGACTGAATTCCATCAAAATCCTCCCCCCCTTCAGACTTCAATGCTTGTCTAAAGCAGATGGCCCCATAAATAATACATCCTAGGAAACCCGATCGCTTACCTCTGGGATGTGCTTGAGCTCCTGTCTCTCGTCATATCATCACTAGATTAGCTCTGGGAATTCTTTTAATTTAATCCTTTTAACAGGTCATGTGTGCAAGAAGCAGTGACTGGGAAATTAGATGCATTTGAGTGGGCTGTATTGTTGGTAGCCTGAAGTCAGCAGGTCCCCACTCAGTCCTTTTGGGGATTTTTTGGGCACTGCACTCAGCTGCTCACCCCCCACTACCCAAGCCCGAGGCAACGAGGCCCAGAACTGGTGTGGCTGAACGTGGGGAGGCCAGGGGAAAGGGGCCAGGGGCCAGAGTATCTGGGCAGCACCATCACATGTGGCCAGAGTGTTCTCAGCAGGAAAACTTCGAGCATGGAGGTACTTACTACCTCCACTGGGAATGGAAAATGTCGTATTTATTTTAGGATGTACGACAGAAATCTGTAAATTCCATTGTCTTTGTCTTCAGTCCCCTATGCTTATTCAAATTGTTAGATTTTAGCAGGGGCTCAGAGACATCCCACAGGATTTATTCTCACATTCATGCAAACCTCACTTCAGGTAAGTGGGAAGAAATTCTGGGTAGCAGTGATGAGGTGGATCCTTTTTACAGTTATTGCCATGGTGACGCCAGTCCTGGGGCTTCCTGCCCTCCCTGCCCTGCCACAGCCCAACTCCACACACACTGGCAAAATCTCCCTGCTTGGTTTGTGTTCACTTCATTGGAATGCCCACAAGGATGGGTGTGTAGGGTGAAGCTGGGGGAGATACGGGGTCTGTTCACATGGGGAACAGAGGCAAGAATAGGACAGCTTTCCATGCCCCATGCCTGTGGAGCCACAGCCTGGTCCATGTGGTCATACAGGCTGCAGCAGGCAAGCTCAAAGTTCCATTTCCAAAGGGTTTGGAAACCACTCTGCTTTTTTAAAAAATTGGTACCGGAAAAAAAGAGCTGGGCTTGAGTCCTTATCTGGAAATGCCTGCAGGATGCAAATATTTGAAAGTA